CCAGTAGGGGTCAAGGACTGATCACATGCACTCCACCTTCACCTGTCCCCAGTAGGGACTGTCACCTGACCCCAGCAGGGATCAAGGAATAATCACGTGCACTCAAACTTCCTCATCCAACTCCAGGAGCAGAGGGAAGTTAAGATTCTTTGCAGATAAGCACCTCAAATGGGGGCAGGGAGATATAACTCGGGGTAGCAATTCCCACAATTCCCCCAACTTTATTTTATAATGAGGGGTCCTGTCTTAGGTCCTGCAAGGGAAGTACCTTCCCTTACCCGTCACTGGGCCCCAGATACCCTGTCTTAGGCGGGAGGGTCACCCCACAGGTTGCCCGTCCTTGGAGACCCTCATTTTTTCAGCATCTGCCGCCATACCTCATGACTTCCGGGAGAGTCATGGGCCAGACTGAGTAACACCTGACGGTGGACAAGCTCAGTCTTGGTGAAGGTGTTTAGAAGTCGTTTTAAGAGGAGCAGACCTACTGCTACCCCTACTAGTCCCAAGATCCCCAGGGACAAGGCACCTCCCCATCGCTGTGCCCAACCACCAATCTGGGCCATGGCATTCCACCATCCCTCAGCAGATATAGGTTTAACATGGGTTTCATTAACTGCAATAATCTGATGTACCAAAGAGTGGGTAAAGTTTACAAAGGAATCATTCCAAGGCCCTTTAAGGTAAGCATTAAGGCGTTGCACCTCAAAGGACATATTTTTCACTTCCATAAGGGTCACACAGGCAGAATGATAAAAATGAGAAGAAGAAGCTTGTTGCACCATCCATAACACATTAATCTGTTCCTGCAATAAGGCTGTTTGCTGATTTAAATTTAGCATCCCTAATTGAATATGTGAGTCCATGGTATTTTGAGTCTCTAAGGCCTGGGTAACACGGGCAGCAAGAGTGTTAACAGTCTCTGCAGTCACTGCATTCTGGGACACGGTGATTCCCGCAACGGTGGCAGCTGTGGCTGTGGCTGATATGGCGATGGCTGCGATGACTGCGGCGGTGATTCCGAAGTCTCTTCTCTCTCGATACAAGATAAGCTCTCGTCCATCATGTGGGTCTTCTACCACCAGGGGAACCAGAGCAGGAATTCTCACCATCAGCACGGACTCATCAGTCGGGGACCAGCAGTTGCTCAAAAAGCAGGAGCTGGAAGAACAATCAAGGACACCATCCTCCCCGACCGACCCATTAAAGGAGACAAACATAAAGGGAGGCAGAACACAAGCCAGACTGACAATAGAGAAATTCATTCCTGCTGCATAGTTAATCTGGAGGGATGTTTCAAAGATGTCTGATGTGTTCCATCTGGCTGTAGCATTGAAAGCCAAGCCCCTTTGAAGGGCTAAAGGCCTAATATCTGTGCATGCACGAGGGCCACAGAGAAACATGCCTGCAAACGTAGGTGAAACTCCTGGCATATTTGGATTTCTATAAGAGTAATCAAAGGCCCCTCTCAAGGAGTTTTTGGAGGTAGGTCGGTGACCAAACCACCATAAATATTGATCTCCCTCCAATTTCCATGGTTTCTTGGGAGCACAATTTCCCCAAGATAATGGTAAGTACAATCTGAAGGATTGTGGCGTCTTCCAACATAAGGGAGCTGGTCTCGGAGGAGTTGGAAGTCCAGAAACATTTCTTTTAAAATTTATTGGGTAAAAGATATCTCTCAATCCAAAACAAGGATGCCCAGAAGAATCAGAAGAAAAGTCTCCCAGAGAATAATTACTAAGGACCACACATGGTCCAGAAAGAGAGATACTAGGCATCTCTGAAATATTGCTAATCTTCCGGAAGCAGAGGGCATGAGATATATCAAACATTAAATTACCCAATGAAGATCTTTCTAATGCTATATTTGCTGCAGGAACCCCCAAAGTATAATTGGTGGAATAAAAGGATGGGAAAACAGAGCTTACTTTACTTACTGGCATCAGTATGGGTGGATTCCTCACCAGTGCCCATCTCAGGGCTCCCTCGATGTTCTTCACTTGAATCCATATTGTCAGGACCAGTAGGGCCTGGCTCCACTGGCCGAACATTCCGCTCCGGCACCCAGATGGGTTTTTTGGTTCCTGGAGGGAAAACGCAAATGGCTCCCCTCACCCTAGCCAACATGGGTGTGGGTGACTGCCACTGTCCTGTGATACTATCCTTCCATCTAACCCAACCCAGAGATTGGGAAGGTTTTTGCCAATGTCTCTCCATTGCTGATAGACCTTGTTTATCTACTGTTAAAAAATTTAAAATGTATAAAATTGTAGATAACTGGGCATTTGGGGAGGTGATATACTCCCCCTTCTTTATTTTACAAAAAAAAATTGTTTAAGGATAGCATGCATGCGCTCCACTACGGCCTGTCCTGTGGGATTATGTGGAATTCCAAAGGTATGTGTAATTTGATGTTCTTGACAAAATTTTGCAAACCTTTGGCTGGTATAAGCTGGTCCATTGTCTGTTTTGAGAAAATCTGGAATGCCCATATAAGCAAAAGCCTGTAGACAATGAGCAATAACGTCCTTAATCTTTTCTCCTGAATGTAGGGAGGCATAAATTACCTTGGAATAAGTGTCTACAGAAACATGTAAAAATTTAAGTCTGCCAGCTTGAGACAAATGGGTAACATCCATCTGCCAAAGGTGGTTAGGACGGACGCCTCGAGGATTAACACCTTCGTTGGGGGCATTATGAAATGGAGCACAAGCTGGACATTGGGATGTGATTTGAGTAGCTGTAGCTAGAGTACATCCAGAGTGAAACTTTAGAGAAGAGGCATTTAAATGATACTTTTCATGAAGATGACGGGCTCGTTGTTCCTCAGAGAGGAACAATGCCATTGGGCGGGTGAGGGAATCTGCAAGCTTATTTCCCTCTGCCAAGGGCCCTGGCAGATCAGTATGGGCCCGAATATGGCCAACAAAGGCAGGAAACACTCTTTGGCATATAAGACTCTGCAGCTGAACCAAAAGGTGGAAAACCTGAGAGGTAGGTAATATATATGGCGAGGTTTCCAATGGCCCAACAATCCCTGCCACATATATACTATCAGTAAACAAATTGAAGGGTTGATCCTTGAAAAGAGAAAATGCCATAAGGCAGGCTGTGAGTTCTGCAGCTTGGGCAGAAATCGTACCTAGGGGCTGCTTTTCTTTAATTGAACCAAAGACCACCACTGCATAGCCCTTGGAAGAACCATCAGTAAACACTGAACGCACTCCCTTAAGGGGGGAAGTTTTAATAATTTTTGGAAAGATAACAGGATGATTCTTAAAAAATGAAATTAAACGAGAATCAGGATAATGGTTATCAAAATTGGCTCCAGTGGTTGCGATGAACAAGGTCCATCCATCTTGAACCCTCTGTAGCCTTGTTATTTTCTCTTTTTGATAAGGGATTAGAAATTTATTTGGGATCCTGCCAAAAACTTGTAAACTAAAATCATATGCCTTCCATAGAAGCTGTAGCACCATTTCATAATATGGGATCACTACCTTCTTAGGGGAAGCAGGTAAATGTAACCAAGAAATGAGTCCCCCTTGCCAAAAAACACCAGTAGGTGAAAATTGTGAGCTTGGGACGAGCCCCTAAATTCTAAGAGGAAACTCTGTCCCATGACTCATTTGCCCCTCCCTGTCTGGAGGCTTTTTCTTTTTAATCCTTCGCTCCTCTACCTTACCGGGCTGAGCTAGCTTAGTTGCTTTTAAAGCCTGCTTAACCCGGACTTTCTCTGTAAGCAAAGCATCCCTGATCAGTCTCCAAAGGGAGAACATGGCAATAGGCAGGACTTCAGGCCCCTCCTTTCTCAAAGTTTCTTGAAGATCCCCGCGAACCTGTTCCCACTCAGAAATACTGAGGGCTCCACTGGTGATGAACCAGGGACTCCCCGTTTCTGTAGTTTTAAGAAAATCATCCAAAGTCTTAGTTTTTACAGCTGTTCCTTTCAACAACCTCGTTAACTCTGATTTACCCGGGGTATTCCCCATTTCTTAATTATCTCTTATCTCTTAATTATCTCAAGTTTCTCTTATTTTTTAATTATATCTTAATCCCCAATACATCCTGGCCGGCTACAGGATGACCCAGTCCACTTTCCTCACCTTTCCGATCTCGGTGGGGACCTCCAGTTACCTCGCCAGCACGGTCTGGAACCACGAGTCTCGGCGGAGGGTGTCCAGGTTGAATGAAATCCACAGAGCACGAGGTTGAGGTGAAACAGCAGTTCGTTTATTGTACTGCTGGGGCTAGCTTTTATACCATGGCACCAAATGGGGAAGGGGCTGCGAAGGGACTGTCACCTGACCCAAGGAGGAACTCTTACCTGACCCCAGTAGGGGTCAAGGACTGATCACATGCACTCCACCTTCACCTGTCTCCAGTAGGGACTGTCACCTGACCCCAGCAGGGATCAAGGAATAATCACGTGCACTCAAACTTCCTCATCCAACTCCAGGAGCAGAGGGAAGTTAAGATTCTTTGCAGATAAGCACCTCAAATGGGGGCAGGGAGATATAACTCGGGGTAGCAATTCCCACACGCTCCTGCAAAATGGGATTTGCATACAGCAAGATAGGCCACTGTCCCAGTCTGGTTACTGTTTAAGGCATGTGCCAGCTTGTTCATCTGTGTGTGTCATTGTTGTCTGCTTTTGTCCACTAACTTCTTTCCTTATCCAAAAGGAGATGGGGCAAACAATATCAACTCTTAAGCTCCTTAGTATCCAGTTGAACAACTTCAAGGACTTCTGGACCCAAGCTGGCCACTTAGGGTTTGTGGTCTGGAAGAGCACAAATTCTCCATTTTGTGCAGGAATGAGCGGCTCACACTCAATGTGGGATGGCCGGAGGAGGGGACTTTCGGTCTCCCAACCATCTATTGAGCCAAGAACATAGTATATGGATCAGTAGGGCTCCCTGATCAGGGTCCCTACATTACCACCTGGCAGTTCCTTATAGAGAAGCCCCCTAAAGTATTGAAACCCTTTCTTCATCCTCCAAAGATGGTTATGGCAGTAGCTGCCGAGAAGAGGGAAGGCGGAAGGGAAGGGGCAAGCCTTCTGCCACACTGTACCCTGTTCTCCTTTCTCCAAGTGATCTGAAGGAGGAATTTTACTTGGCCCCAGCTCCCTACCCCCAAGCAGCTGGTCCATTGGCCTTTTGCTACTAGCGACCCACGTTATTGAAAGATGCAGAACCCTAAATTTTCTGAGAAGCCGGCAAGACTCGTTGACTTGTTAGATTCTGTGCTTTTACTCACCAGTCGACATAAATGACTATAACCAGTTATTACTTCAGGTCCTCTTTAGTACTGAGAAGAAGGAACAGATTCTGGTAAAGACCCATAAATTGGTTCTGGACCCAGAGGGAAGACCAGCTGTCAGTGCTGACCTCATAAATCCTGGTTTTCCCCTGACGTGACCCAGCTAGGACTTCAACATGGCGGAAGGTAGGGAGAGATTAAAAGTCTACTGCCAGGCTCTAATGGGAGGTTCTCAGGCTGCTGTGAGGCAACCCACAAATTTGTCTGAAGTAAATCGGGTGTGCCAGGGACCCGAGGAAGTGCCAGGAGCCTTTCTGGAGAAGTTGATAGAGGCCTATAAGACCCGTATGCCCTTGGATCCAGGAACACCAGAGATCTGCACTGAGCCCGACTTTTCTCAACCAGCTCTGGACATCTGCTATAAGTTACAAGAACTAGAAGGTTTTGAAGGTAAGAAATTGGCTGCACTTGTTGTATTTGTGGGAAAAGTGTTTACTAATAGAGACCCCAGAAGAAAGACAGACCAGGGATCTGACAAAAGCTTTAGATAAGTGGACATAAGGACTCACCAGTCTGGGCTGCATTGGGAGATCCTGAAGTTAAGAGACAGGTGCTACACATGCTCACCATGTCACTCATAGATAAATATAAGTTGTTGGCAAGGCCCCCAAATCAATAAAACACTGGGGACCTCCTACAGAAATGGGTCAACAAAGGCATGGACAGAGACTGGCATTTCTGGGCTGGCAGCACACAGGCCACCCATACCAGTACAGCTGAAAGCCCATGTAATGCCATCGCACATCAGACAAAGCCCAATGCCAGAGATGCCAAACTGGGAATTACCCCACCCCACATCAAGTGCTGAGGGACATGGTATCCAAATCCCTTGCCAATTGTCTTGGAACATGCCCCTAATGCCTGCTAAAAAGCCTAACTCGAATGACTTCTGACCATTAAAGACCTCAGAGAGGTTAACAAGAGGGCTGAAGACCTTCACCCCATGGTGTCTAACCCTTACACACTTCTTAGTACCTTGCCCCCAGAAAGGGCTGTCTATAGTGTGTTAGACCTCTAGGATGCTGTCTTTAGTCAGTCAGCTCTTACTCGCCTTTGAATGGGCAGACCCAGAAGATGAATTCTATGGACAGCTGACTTGGACTCAACTACCCTAGAGGTTCAAAAACTCTCCCACCATCTTTGCAGAATCCCTTCATAAGGACTTGGGTGATGCCTACAGACATACCCTAACATCAGCCTGCTACAGTATGTGGACAATCTCCTAATAGCAATTGAAAAGACCTGCAAAACTGCCAATGAGCTGCTGCCCAAACATCTGGAGACCTGGAATATTGTGTGTCAACTCTGCCGGACTGAGGTAATTTCTCTGTGACACATAGTCCAGGGGGTGAGAGATGGCTACCAATAGCAAGAAAAGAAACCATCCCAAGGGTCTCCAGACCTAGCAACCATCAGAGCTGAGAGAATTCCTGGGGTCTGATGGATTCTGTAGACTTCAGATCCTGGGGTTTGATGAATTGGCACAGCCTCTATATGAGGTCACAAAGGGAGGGAAATCTCCCCTTGACTGGACTCCACAGATGAAAAAGCCTTTGATGAAATCAGGGCAGTTCTACTAAATGTACCCACTTTAGTATTACCAGAAGTCACTAAACCCTTCCATTTATTTGTGGAGAAGAAAAAGGGAGCTGTCAAGGGGGTACTGATGTAAGACCTTGGTCCATGGGAAAAGACTGGTGACCTACTTATCAAAAAGACTGGACCCAGTGGCCACTGGATGGCCCCCTTGCCTCCATATAATGGAGCAACAGACACTGAAGACTAAAACTGATCTTGGAATTAACCCAAAAATGACACCCCCATGCTATTGATGAGATTCTTAAACACCCTCCCAATAAATAGCAAATGTTTGGCTGACCCATTTTCAAACTCTGCTCTTAAAGCCACCCAGAATGTAGTTTACCAACAGCAGTGCCTTGAACCCTGCCACCCTGCTTCTAGATCTGAACCTGGACCAACTTCTCCATGCTGGGTGGACACCCTAGTCATCTCCATGGGATCAGACCAGATATCAAGGACATCCCTCTGATGAAGGATGAAATAACGTGGCATATTGACGGCAGTAGTTTCATCCAAGATGGTACCAGGTACGCAGTGGCAGCAGTCACTATCCATGATGAGGTCACATGGGCAGAGGCCCTGCCTCCTGGGACATCAGCTCAGAGGCCTGAACAGATAGATAGCTCTCGACAGACGTTTCTGTCCTGCCCAATCCTGTAGCTGTTCAGTCCCAAAGAAACACACAGAGGTTTATATTAAATATAAACTGTTTAGCCAATGACTCAGGATTATATTCAATGACTACCTCTTACACCTTAAATAAACACATTTCTATTTATGTATCGTCATGAAGCTGTGGCTTAACAGTAATGTTTGGCATCTTTCTCCTTTGACAGCTATATGACATCTCCTTGACTCTGTCTACTCTCTCTCTATATCTTGGATTTCTCACCTGGCTTTACTCTGCTAAGTCATTGGCCAATACAGCTTTATTCACGAACCAATACAAGCAACACATATACAGAAGGGCATCCCACATCATCTCCCCCTTTCTGTCTAATTAAAAAGGAAAGTTTTAACTTTAACATAGTAAAATTACATATACAAAACAGTTTTCAAGCAAGAATTTTATTTAAAATATTTAGTCCATTTACATTTGGCAAATTAAAGAAAATACTCTATCATCTATCCTATCTTTATGAGTCTAAAGTTTTATATCTAATTTATCTTTTATCATAACTAAGGAAAATTATAATTATAACTTCAACTCCATCAAAGACCCAAGAAGGATATAATATTACCTAAGTAAACAGGAAGTATGTTATTGAAAGTAACTTCCAAAGTCCTAGAAATGACAGAGAGCTCTTGCTGCCTGGACAGTCACCCAAAGTTCTTCTGTACTGTTGGGGCATCCATCTTCAGTCTACAGGTCTGTAGTATCCAGAAGACTTTTCAGTGAATCAGGAAATTTGAAGATCTGTTCTGTCTGTACTGGTAAAGTTCATCAGTCGCTTCTTTCTGTGTCCTGCAGAATGTCTGGCAGTTTCTTCTGTGAAGCAGGAATCCTGACTTTTGAGAACTTTAGCAGTCACTTTTCTGTGGGTCCTGCATGTCCCACATTCATGCAGCATACCATGAGACACTCCATGCAAGAGCAGTTTCTTGCCCAAATGGCTAGCCTTGTCACATTTAAGACTAACGAGCTCCTTAACGAGTTTCTTCGATAGCCATCAACCTCTCTGAAATAACTGCTGCTGCTAGAAGCAGACATGTCTCATTGTTGAGAAAAGTCTAAGTTTTTAAAACATTTTAAATGTCATATTCTGTAGGTCTTTGAAAGTTTAGAAGAATATCTGTCCATCTTAAATATGTCACTGTACATCTAGAAAACATAACTGACTACAAATTTGACTATTATAGATGACTACCTATTAAGCTATAATTTTGAATTATACATTACATTTTTAATGAGCTCTATAAACATAATACCATAAACAAGAGTAGAAATATACATATAATACATTTGACCTTAAATCTGTATCAATAGACCAAGGTCCATACCAATGTAAAGTATTCATTTCTATAGCATATTCCCTTATTTTTCTTTGGAAAGACACTATGACCACAAACTATTTATAATCAACCTCCTTTAAATGAAAACAAACATTTGTAAACAATATTTGCAAATTTGGGCATAGTTCTCTAGACTACTTCCTGCTGATTGGAGGTGCTGTTAATCAGGTCTGTCATAGGGTATCCTATGTAATTGATCCATCTCAGTCAGCAGTCCTGAAGATGTCATGGATGTTAGACCTTCTGGACCATCGCTTCAGGGGGTCTTGTTTGACCAAACAATATTAGCCAGTAAGGAATCCACAGCTTTCTATCCTCTGTGGAAACAAAAGCAGAACCTCTTTTCCAATGTGACATGTTCTTAGACTTAAATTGTGAAGCCAAGATACCTTTAAAATATATGTTGGTTTAGCTTAGCAGCCCATACAATGGAATGTTTCTCTGTAATTAGTTCATTCACAGTAAAAAAAAATTCAAAGAAAACACAATATTATATATAATCCACATTCTTTGTGTGTTTTCTATCTTTATGTGGCTTTCTTTTACTTTTATTTTTTAATTTTTGTTTGAGGGGAGGGTTTCTCTGTATATCTTTGGCTGTCCTGGATCTCACTCTTTAGATCAGGCTGTCCTTGAACTCACAGAGCTCCACCTGCCTCTGCCTCCCAAGTGCTAGAATTAAAGGAATGTGCCACCAAGCCCAGCTACTCTATTTCTTTTTTAAGAACTTTCTCTATCCTTTTTCTCTTCTCTTGCTTTTCTCTCCCAAGCCTATGTATATTTTTAAACACACTGTAAACTGTTTAGAGTTTTTTTTAATTTGTTTTTTGTCTGAATCTGTCTTTACTGTATATCTTTTTATGACCACATGAGTTTTCAATCTGCTAAGCAGCATAACTAAGATTATAGCTGCGACTTTGGTAGCTGACTCCACCCTATCCTTGGCTTCCCGAGAGTCTAGCTTCATGGTGGAGGTTCTGGTGGGAGCCACATTTTTTGCTGCAACTTGTGGAGTTTCTAGGTTCATGCCACCACCAAAAAGTATACCACTGGCTGCTCATATGTTTGGTGACAGGGCCTCTTAAAACGTGCCATGTGGTCTTTGCTGCTAATGCTGAGTCAAGAAGCCTTTCTTAAAGTATCTGTGCATCTGCTTACTGCCAGCAAAGAGAGATTTTCAGAGCAAAGATGGCTACCAAGAAGCTGTGCTTGACTCTGTTATTGTCTGTCTAGAATCCTTTCTTTTTAAAACTCTCTCAGCCTTTATGTGGAAATTCTTGTCAAATGTTTGGGCCACATCAACCAATAAAAACAACACAAATACAGAAGGACACCCCACATCAGATAACTTTAACTAAGGCACTACAGCTGGAAGGGAAGAGACTCAACATCTACAGTGATAGCCAACCAATATGTGCTCACCACAGTACATCTACAGGGTGCTATCTACAGGGAAAGAGGGATAGTGACTGCAGAAGGAAGGTCTATTAAAAACAAACAGGAGATTTTAGATCTCTTATGGGCCGTATGGTTGTCCAGGAAAATAGCTGCTATACACTTCTGGGACACCAGAAAGGAGAAGACCCCATCTAAAGGGGAAACAACTGGCCCGTCTGATCTCAGAACTGAAGCTGGTCAAACCCACACTGCCAGAATCTCCAGCTTATGCTGACTAAGAGCTCTGAGGAGCTACATATGTCCAAATGCCTATAAAGAAAAAGGTGACTCAAGACCCCAGATGAACGGATCATTCTCCCATCAGACTTCACCACTCAACTGGTCCAGCAGATACATCAGAGCACTCACCTGGGAGAGAAGAAAATACAAGAGCTCCTGAGCAGACCACACCTTAAGGCTTTTGACCTTAAATCTAAAACAGCAGAAGCCATATGGCCATGCCCCACATGACATCCCATGAATGCAAAGAATGGCGTCACAAGAACAGGGCACCAGGAAAGAGGAACCCGACCAGGAGCCAACTGGGAAATCGACTTCATGGAGGTAAAACCAGGACTATGTGGTTATAGATACTTATCAGTCTTTTTAGATACTTTTTTTTTTTTGGATGGACTGAACCATTTCCAACCAAATCTGAGATGACTGCAATAATACTCAAGAAACTACTAGAAGAGATCATTCCAAAGTATGGTCTTCCAATGTTCATGGGCTCATAAAACGGGCCTGCATTCATTTCTCAGGTAACACGGAAGCGAATTAAGGTAATTGGGACTAATGGGAAACTTCATTGTGCCTATTGTTCCCAGAGTTCTGGTCGGGTAGAATGGATAAATTGGACCCTTAAGGAGACCATAACTAAATTAACCCTTGATACTGATGGTGAGTGGTTTCTCCCCTCCCCTTTGCTCTTTATCAGGTTTGTAATTCCCCCTATCCTTTGGGCCTAATGCCATTGGAAAGCACGTATGTCAGACCTCCACCAATACTACCCTAACCTTAAGGCAGAACTGTTAGCTGACCAAAGTTTCTCTCCTCCCTACAGGCTTGCTCTCAGGTGCAAAGACAACTCTGTCCCCAGCTTTGTGCAGTCAATGAGAAGGAACCACCTCCTGTGTCTCACAGATTCTGGCCAGTGAACCTAGTGATTGACAAACAATATTGGAAAGAGACCTTAGAGCGTGGCTGGAAGGGATCCCACACTGTCATCCTGCCTACACCCACAGCTGTTAGGGTGGTTGGGAGCCCCACCCACAACCACCACCCCCACGTGAAGCCTGTGGACCTGTTGTGTTGACCTTGAGGATTGTGCTTCAGAAGAAGCCACCCTGGACTTTGGAAGGCCATTGCCCACCCACAGGACTTTCTCACATTGAGAATTCAGAATGTCACTGACCCAGCTATGTAGGCTAAACAATGACTATGTCTGTCCTCCTCCCTAGCCTGTACTTGCTAAGAGTATCCCCTATTAACAGCTGGGTAGAATAGTTACATTTCCCTATTGGTCCTACAACCTCACTTGGGTTATTATTAATTCAGAAGCTGGGGATCTGACCCCCATGAGGACCTGGCTTTGACCTATTCACTCTGAAACCCCATTATTTTTCAAGGTATAACCCATGTGCTTTACAAGGGTAATATTTCTATATCTGCCCCAGTCATAACAGAAACAAGTAATTGGAAAGGAAATGTGGAGGGGGGAGATAAATACTATTGTCCCTCTTGGGATCATGTTTCCACAGGCCACATCTGGCTACACCCAGCTTGTGAATGGGGTTACTCTTGGAGCATCAGTTCAATACTAATTTGATTCACCAAGTAAGGCAGGAAAGTATGGGCATCAGGTAAAACCTGGGTATTGATATTTAAGCAATGGGAATATGGTGATCCAGGGAAGCTGGTTTCTATGTAGCTTCATGCTCAGACTCTGCTATCACCATACCTTTGGGGCCCAGTAAAGTATTGACTGTTCCAGCTAAGCCAGAAGGCACAAGAACCCCAATATCTACTACTGAAGCATCACATTTGGGCATGCCTTTTGGCCTGGGGTCCCTGGGGCTCTTAATCAGCCACCCTCTCATTTCTGAACACTTCAGAGCCCAGTCTCACTGAAAATTGCTGGTTGTGCCTCGATACAAAGGCCTCTTGCTGTGAAAGCAGAGCAGTCAAGGGAAATTATACTACATCCCATAGCTCACAAGCTCACAGATGGCAGCAACCAATTAAGGGGAGGCACACCTTGCTGCTGGTGACAGGAAGTGGTCTCTGTCTAGGTAAACACGGCTAGTCTATCTCTGCAATCTCACTCAGTACCTATGGGAGCTGACTTCCTGATCCAGCTGGATGACTCTGGGTGGGCCTGTGCTTCTGGCCTAAGACCCTGTGTCAGACCAAAGATTTCTCTGTTCTGGCCCAGATAGTCCCAAGAATTGTCTACTACCCTGATGATAAAGACTTTTACCAATTAGAAATGTCACCAAGATGGGGAAAATGAGAAGCGGTCACAGCTGTCTTAGTATCCATGCTCCTAGGAGTCAGTGTAGCTGGGGCCATAGGTACTGGAATTTCAGCGTTGATACTACAAGGCCTTGAGAGTGACAATAGATGCAGATATAGCCGCCCTAGAGAAACCCATCGCCCACCTAGAGGAGTCTCTCTCTTCCCTTCCTGAGGTAGTTCTCCAAAACAGGAGAGGGCTTGATCTGTTATTCCGGCAACAAGGGGGACTATGCATGGCATTAGGAAAATAATGCTGCTCCTGTGCCAGCTATTCTGGAGTTATCAGGGACACAATGGCCCTGGAAAAACAATAAAATGATAGGTGGTATGAATCTTTATTTAATTGCAATCCTAGTTAACCACCATCATATCAACCCTAGCTAGTGTAATGGATTAAGTAAAATGCTACAGGTTCCCAAGTGGCTGCAAGCGGGCAGTGGGCCATGAGACCATGCTGCAGGTTCCTGAGCAGGGGCAGGCAGCAGGCACTGGGTCCCAAGAGCAACCAGTCCCAGGCAGGGACAGTACAGTTCCCCAAGTGGCTGCAGTGAGCCATGAGGGGCAGCGAGTCCCATGAGGAGAGACAGATGGATGGGCATACCAGGAGACAACACCGCAGGTCTCCAAAGATGGCTGGTCCCAGGCAGAGAGCCACATGGTGGGCAACAGACAGACGAATAGGGACACCATACAGAGTGAGATTGGATATTTATTTAGTAGGTTATGGAATGAAAGGGGAGAAGGAAGAATAGCAGAGAAAGGGAGAGAGAGAGAGAGAGAGAAAGAGAGAGAGAGAG